AGAGAGAGAGAGACATCGAAGTAAGGTAAGCTATTGCTATTAATAGCTGGCGACCAAGTGGGAGCAGCACATCAGAAGTGCGGACATCGAGTGACATTGCCGAAGATAAGGAGGACAGAAGGGAAGATGGGAAGGAAAAGGAGAAGAAGATGAAGGTTTCCAGCGAACCCGGACCGCAAATAAGTCGTCGGTGGTGGCCAACTTCTCTCTCACTCTTTGCTGACCTAGAAGTGCAATAGCTGCTGACAGCAGATCACTGACCGCCTTTTGCCCCTCAACTTCTTTGGCCATCTCTTTCATCTCTCTTTCCTTCTCCCTGGGTAACCCTCTTTTTGCCAAAAGTGGTGATTGCCAATATTGAGATGACGCAATGCTTTTCGGTGACCTGATGGAAAAGAAGGAATGAGAAAGAGAGAAAGAGATCAGAGAACATTGAGAAGAGCTCTACTTTCAAGTTAAATGTAGTCAGAGAGCCAGACTTTGTTAGACAACAACAAGTTTACCTGGTCAAAACAGAGCGTTCAAAGAAATTAAAACAGTAGAAAACAAAAACAAAACAAAAACAAATTAAAAGTTCACCAGCAGAAAAAAAGGTGAGCGGTAAATAGCGGAAAAAGCATTGGCAGCAATCTNAACAAAAACAAAACAAAAACAAATTAAAAGTTCACCAGCAGAAAAAAAGGTGAGCGGTAAATAGCGGAAAAAGCATTGGCAGCAATCTTTACGACCAAAGTTTTTTCCCCTTCTAAACGGTCACTACTGATTGCACCAGCTGCACAAAAAACTGGCCAATTTCTTGCCTTGAACTTGAACTATTCACCACCACCAACCGATATCTTTGATCACTTTTTTTACCCACACGTCACTCCACACATTTGCAATCCTGCAGCTTCTTGTAAAGAGGAGAAGAAGTAGAAGGGATCTCTTCGACCATCTTTGTCGCTCCATTTGAGGTCAGCGGTGGTGTTGCTACCTGGTTGAACAGGTTAGAGAGCTTCGCTTAGATTCGGTTAGCCGGGCAAAGTTGGCCACTGTTGGTAGTTGCTGTTCCCTTCGTCGTATTACGGTAAAACAATTAACGGTGAAGAGAGGTAGGAGAAAGAGAGACGTAGGAGAGAGAAGGAGAAGAGTCTTCTTCGTTTTCGTCTTCTCGTACCGATCACCGACTGGCGACGGCGAGTAACGAAAAAAGTCGCCCTTCAAGTATCTCTCTCTCCTGTTTGCATTTCCATCGAAAAAGTACCGCCGTTAACTGGTGTGCACTTGGTATTAATTCCAGCAGAGACCTCATTTCCAGCCGACAGTTGCCCTCTACTCTTCGCCTGAAGCTGACCACAAACACTGATCCACTTTACTTGACTTCACCTCAAACTTACTCATTTTTAAACTTCTACGTGATCTTCTCTAGTTACTAGCCACCATTTTTTACTGTGCATCTTCTTGGTGTGCATCAACTCCTGCATTCCCTTCTAGTTATTACCCTCCACACTAAAACCACCAAAATGAAGCTCCTTATTCTCGTCACCATCACCATCACCCTCCTGGCCACCTTTGCCATGGGCGCCAACTCCACCGGCTCCAGCTCTCGGCAGGCAAAGGCCTTCCGCATGGCGGACAGTCGCTCCTCAGTTCCCTCTTCATCCTCCTCCTCTTCCTCCTCCTCTGAAAAGCCCCTCGCCAGCAACGAGATCAGCCAATTTCTCAACACGAAGAACATCGTCAAGACGATCGTCAAGCTGGTCTTTGGCACCTCGGAGGAATCGACCGCCACCAGCCGCCAGGTACTGAACCTGCTCGTGAAGGTGCTCGACATGCTCAAGACGAGCTTCACGCAGCGAAATGCTCGCTCAAGTGGCGGAAGTCGCGGACTGAAGGACACGGCCGACGATGCTGCTGTGGCTGGCATTTCCATGCTCAAGGGCTTCGTTCGATCGGCGCTCACCGCTGAGTCGACCTGTATGCAGCGGCACATCTGCGACGCGGCGGCGGCCGCCTCGCGAGAAAGTCGAGAGCTGGGCTACCTCATTGCCCAGGTTGGAGGGTAAGCAATCAGATAAGCAAAAAGATTTTGACCTAAAACCTAATATTTATGTTTTTTCCTTCTTTAGTTATGCCTCCAGCTACGTGCTCGATGGTCAGAAGGGCGCCACGCCCAATGCCAGCTACGAGGCGGCACGAATTGGCCGCAGCGGCGCCGACTGCAAGGCCGTCTACAGTAGCTGCGTGGAGAAGCAGGAGCTCTGAACTGAATTGTGAAGATGAATAAGTGAACTAAAAATGTATTGACCAGGAATGAATGAACATGAAAATGAACACCCGTAAAAGCTGCTATTTATTTATTTAT